CCAAGTGAAATAATCTCTTCGACGTGATAGACCAATGAACTAAATCGGCACAGATGAAAGAGTTTACCACCTTCGGAAAATCACGAGCTCGGTACCTACCTACTTATACTTGTCTAAAAAACTATTAATTAGCATTTGGCAATTTGTAAAATCGTATAAAAAAATCAAAATGGCCATATTCCACCCACCAGACGAATTTTAATTGTCGCCGCAAATTATGGGTGCCGAACAAAATGACGGAAACCGCCTTCGATTGAATTAAACAATCAATTTTCGTTGCCAAAAAACTTTCTTCAAACATTTTGCTAACTGAAGAAATTTTAAAGCTTTAATGGTATAGTCCACCTCCAGAACTATAGCGATAACAGAAAAAGCGTTTTTGAAAACCTTCATGAGCTTCAAAAAAGCCTCCAGTATGTTCTCAATTTTCTTTCATATATACGTGTGTAAAGCGATTGCGGGCATACAAGAGGGAATTTTTTTTAAATATTGATTTATGAAAAAAATTTATTCTTCATGATATTTTTTGATTGCTTTGAAAGTACCAATAACGTTTCGATAATCTAAAATTTATTTATAGAAATCTGGAAAAATAATGAAACTAATTTTTTTAATTGAAAGTTATCCTTCTACATTATAATCAAGATCGCGTATTGCTATCAAACCACAAACAATCGAAACGTTATTGCTACATTCAAAGCAAGCAAAAAATATTATGAAGAATAAATTTTTTTCATAAATCAATATTTAAAAAAAAATTCCCTCTTGTATACCCCATCGCTTTACACACTGTATGTCTGTCTGTCTGACCACATATCGACTTTGGATTTTTTCTATATCGTAAAAGTTAGATGCCAAAAAGAACATTCACAACTATTGTGTAAAATTTGTAGGTTTTGATTAGAGTTTCAAGTATCTCTAGATACATCCCAGTGTACTGAAAAGAACACAACAATCTGTGGATATAAATGATTGAAAGGTCCTATTAAAATTTGAAAAGCCGTCTAAACGCTTTCTATACATTTTGTCAGCTTCTCGAAGTTTTCTGGTGATTTCTATACATTTTTCAGTGCATGGGAAAACACGAAGGGGACTCTGGAACTCTGTGACTGTTATTTTTGTCGAACTGTTTAGGAGTAGATCGATGTATGTTTGGTCGAGACGGATTGGTTAGAGATTTCCGTGTAGATGGCAACGTGATTTGTCAATGAGTACGTTCGAAAATTGTGTGCTTATGAAATAGTATATTACGTAACGAGTGTTGAAAGCGATACTTTTCACACGAGATGTGAAGTTTGCCATACGAGGCGAAGCCGAGTGTGGCAATTACACGAGTGTGAAAAGTGGCTTTCAAACGAGTCATGTACACTATTTTTCCTACGACTCCATACAACAAAAAATCTACTTACATAATGAAACAAAAGATTTTTTCTCCAACCACCTGAATAAGACGCTATTTTGTGACAGTGTTCGGTACCTAAAATTGACGTTTTGGGGATTAATCGCTTTCACTATGGCAACTGTACAAAAAGTGGATACTTTTGGTCCTAGTACCAAAAAGAAATTGACCTTGAAAGTTGGCCAATTAAAAAATTACAATCACGGAGATATGTCACATTGACATCGTTTTACATTGCAGGTTGTAAGATATTTCTATACATACAAATCAAATATTTTTGCATATTCAATGCAAATAATGATGTTACCTATACGTATGTACATGTATTGAAAATGATTTACGCTCGCTATTTTTATTTAAACCAAGTGTAACGTAATTTACATATTCCGTGAACGTAATTTTAATACGTATACAACCCGCCGTCGCGCGTAACGCCATCTACTTCAGACCCATTGCACTATTATCTGTCATTTTGAATTCAAAATTTGAAAAAGTTAATTGCAATTAATTTTAATTAAAAAACTGTATGGCAAGTTTTTTATTTCAATACAAAATATAACAATATTAATTGTGTATAGAAATGACTGAAACTGATAGCGACATGGATTGCACTCCGCCAGAGATTTTAGAAACGGCAGAACATGCTACCTCAAGATTTGCTCCCTACAAAGTCGCGAGAGGTGAGAAGTAAAAGGTAAAAACGAATAGGTTATAAGTTAACCTAAAAAGTAGAGTGGCATGACACGTGAGGACAAGAAAGCAGAAGTTCTTATACTAGTAGTGAAACTGTGACTGAATCTAAATTCGAATATAATTTGAAGTAAAGGGGGTTGGAGAAAAAATTTTATGTTTTATTCGTACAAAAAATGCGTTTTCGGGACTCGGAAGGTTGCTGGACTCCGCTAACGCGTCGTCCAGCAACTATCTTCCTCGTCCCGAAAACTGACATTTTTTGTACTAATGAAACAAATAACTATTATTTGAACCAACCAACTACTAAAACTATCTAAAAATACGAAATAGATTCAATTTCTCTTTAACGAACTATTGTTATAATTACTTTAGCAAAGAGGTACTTGTTGTTTGGAGCTTCTGCAAGAAATTTACTAATATTATTAGACGTACGCTACTTTTCATATCTCAGCCGCAATTTAGTTGGTAGGTAGTAATTCGAGTGTAGTGGATTTTGCCTCTTCCCTGATGTTGGATGGAGTACACTCTACATCCATGGAAGAATCACTTTCCGCCATTAAAATTAAGTAAGGAATTAAACGCGTAGCACAAGGGAATAAACTCAAGAATAAACTAATCGCAATTTTAGAGTTTGACGTACGCCTACTACGTTGATGTTACAAGAAGATTAGACTACTACGAAAGCAAAACGTAACATGCGATTCGCTTTCTAATATATGGTAGATCTTATGAGAAAGCAAATCACACGGGTGCGTTTTGTTTTCCGTTACATTTTGCCATAAGTATAAGTGAACGAAATTGTCAATTTTCAAGTAAACATACGACATATGTCATTTTCAATGAAAGTCGTAGGAAAAACTGGTTTTCCTATACGATTACATTGTAGTATTTCAGTTTGCAAAACTACTCAATCGACAATCTGTAATATTAGAGATATGGGAAAAATGTTTAAATCATCTGCGAATAATAAATGATTATCTACATGTTAGGCTATGCGGCGATTAATCATTGAGAATAGAAGTGGTCCAAAGTTAGACCCTTGCGGAACACCTGATGTCGCAATAATTGGATCAGATTTGTATAATTATTATTATGCCACATACTGAATAGGATGAGACAAATATGTGGCAAAAAAAGAAACTAGCGAGTTGCAGCTCATGCATTTTAATTTATTAACAATAATACAGTAAATAATGGATTATTGGTATCTTTCTTGGAGGAAGTTTTATCAATTCTCATGTATCGTTCTTGTGTATCGATTTAATTTATCACCTAAATTAAAGTATTTATAAATTTTAACAGTTGATGTTAGCAGTTAGAGGATTATGAAAGAGTTAAGGCCGATTCTCACTTTCGTGCAAAGAACCGGCACGGCACATACTCGGCACGGGCAAAGTTTTTTGAGTTCAATTCACACTGCGACACGCTTGTCGCAGGTAAGCAGTTTCTACGTGAGTTTCAACTGTAAAAATGTTCGAAACTTTGACGTTAATTAAAATTGGTCTAATATTAGATGATGAAGAACAAGAAAGTACATATTGCAGAAAAAGAAAAATACTTTTTTGTGTACATAAAATGCATAAGAAGTATCTTTTATGACCGAAATCATTTTCCTGGACACCCTTCAATCAGCATCTCATCTTGTTCCGCTGAAAAAGTGTTCCTTTGCTGACCCTTCAACCTTTCTTGTACTATGAAAAATGAACTAAAGTCGGTGACCTGCACAGATTGTATTCACACTTGTCGGAACGTGCACGGTACATCCCGGCAAATATTGTTTCGGAAGAACGCTGCGTGCAAAGGCCGTAGCTTGCCGAGTCGTTGCTCGCATAGTGTGAATTACACCCCAAAAAATTCATACGATTCAATAATATAGATATTTTGCCGAGTCGGTGCCTTGCCTGTGCCGAGTACGTGCCTTGCACGAAAGTGAGAATCGACCTTTATTTCTTCGTTTTTATTGAAAACAAGAATCAAGAGAGATGGGATATGCGTTGCCTATGCTACCAAACGCTACCATAGCGATTGCGAGTCAGATTTCCCTAAACAAATTACCTATAGGTGAACATTTTTAATCCAATGTGTCTTCTGAAATTAGTTTTCCGCATGTCCGACGTGAATCTTGATAAAGATTACACGATCAATCCCCATTTTTCGAGGCATGCGTGTTTGTATAAAGATTTTTATAAGAAATTCCTGTTTGGGGAATACATTTATAATCGCCCAATACTTTAATAGTTAGGTATTTGTGCAACCAGTTCGGAAAAGCACTATTTTTCGTAACGAGCGTATTTCTGCGGAAACGAGCAAAAGAAAGCGCGTTACGAATAGTACTGTTTCCCAACGTGTTTCACACAATATTTTTTCTAATTTTGACATGTAAAGTGATACTTTTCATCGCCAGTTGCGAAATATTTTACTTTTCACAACTGGTGGCATCTTACAACGTCAACGAGCTTTAAAAAGTGTCACTTTAAATGTCAAAATTAGAAAAAATTATTTTGGTTTTACAATATACCTATACAGTATTGAGTATACATACCTACTGTTGATATGTGAATGTAAATTTTATTTCTATTTTTAAAAAGAAAAAATTATTTTGAATGCATGTTTTTTTTTCAAAAAATATTTTGTGTCGGATAAGTATATACCTATAGTTTATATATATTTGCACCCATAGACCTTTTGAAAAAATTTATTCTAGCTACTTGTAGCAATTGCAAAGACTATATTTGCATTGTTAGTTATTTTGATTAGAGAATTCTTCACTTTTTTTTAAATATTGAAATTGCTTGATCAAAAAGCGTAAATCAACAGACCCCAATCTTTAAAATAGGCAACCCACTTTACGCATCTGCAACAGTGTTCTGGCGCAAGAGAAATGTTTGGGATAATGCAAATGACTTACCCTCAGAAATTAAATGTCCGTCTTCGACGCGACGATTTCCTTCCGCACTTTTTTCACCGGTGTCACTAAGATCAACGAGACTTCTAATTGAAAAGATCGATTTCGCCACCCTCATTTTGCACGCATCAGGTGGAATGCTTTCCCGCGAACGCATTGTCAAGTCCATTTCATTGCGTGAATCCATTTAACTTCGCTACTTAACGTAAAAATGTAAATTGTTTATTGTAATTAAGTCGTACAGGTATGTGCATCGATAACGTTCCAGTCAGTGCACTTTCCTCGTTAAAACGCCGCGTAGGTATAGCTATAGGTAGGTAATTGTAATTATCGGGTTACCGCCGCAATTACACTATCACTATTTAGAACAGTAAAACGATAACCGCATCCGCCCGTTCACTCCCTATTTATTAAAAAAAAAAGTGTATTCTTTAATTGAGGTGCGATGTCTTTTCGAAGCATGCGAGTACAGGTGAGGTACGCGTCGGCGTTGAGCGAAACCCGTACTGTCACCTGGTGACGGCTCGATGGGCCGTCTTCTTACCTGGGGCATCCCACGGGCGGAGTTCCGAAACGTCTTCCCTTTTCAGAACTGCCCTCCTGCTTTGATTTATATTTCATGAATTGTCGACTCCTACTAAATATCAATTTTGAACTTTATTAATGAAGCCCAAAATTTTGGTTTGCTATAAACTTCTGCCGTATATTTTCAATTCACTGTAGGTACGTATTTTACAAAATGTTTTACCCAAAATCGTCCTAAACCTTCATTTTCATGCCTACTTTCTGTCAGGAAATTTGAGTTTCCTGCCACTTGTCACTTTACCGGCCGCATTTTTGACATTTCTAATGTCTATAATGACTCCTGTCATCACTGACAGATTGACATTAACCAAAAGTGTTATTATACAAATTGAAATGTTATATTAAAATACGAGTTCGGGTAAGATTTAATACAAAACTCGTCAGTAAAATGACATTACTTGACTCGGAAATTAAAGTACTCGGCCCCAAAGGGCCTCGCACTTTAATATTTCCTCGCCAGTAATGTGTCATTTTCCTGATTTTTATGTAACTATTATTCGCCTGTTATAAGTAAAACTATGCCAGGTATAGGTACCTATTAAGTCTACAATAGTAAAAGACGTTTATATAAAATGAATTTTCGCACATATGTACGGGCGGACAGACGAACAACTACATCCCTTAGAAAGCTAGGTAAATGACAGAAAGGATTATTAACACTATCTACCTATGTAAGTTCGTGAAATTGTCTAGTAATGTCATTGTATTTCTTGAAATTAGTCGTTTTTGATAAAAATGCGAAATCATCACGAAAATCTCATGATAATTTTGCACTATTATAGTGATCAAGGCCTTCAGTAGAAGTCTAATTGACATCTGCCGGCGTGTAATGTAAGACGAGCTGTATATGTTATGCCCAGCTGTCATTTTGACATATTGTCAGTTCCAACTCAAAAAATAAAGTAAATGTTGTTCAAACCTACCCTTCTAGTGACCTGAAGATGACATGGATATGCCGAAACATCTAGCTTTAGTACATCAATTTCCTTTTTATATGTAATTTCAAATATTAAAGCATCTGTGGGGAAAGTTTAGTTATTATATCGATTTCCAAAAAATACAGAATACGGAGGTCATTATTTTACGCAGAATCAATTATTTTGTGAAGCAACAGACGCTTGCCTGCATGTGAAACTTGGATTTGCGGTAGAAGTTTCCTAAATTTTCCTCTTCCGATATCGTTTCTCGCATATGCTTTCCCGAACCCGTTTTGCTGTGCACTTCTTAATCCGCTTAACAAGAAAATAAATGCGGCACAATTCGGCTTTATAGTCTGGCATTTACTGTACAGAGCAAAAAGTCACTAGTGCACGTGCATAATTTTCTTTAATGAATTATATGATTATTTTTAGTTACCACTGCTTTTAAATAAATGACAACTTTAAAAATTGGCAACTTTGGCAGAATTGGCGATATGAATATGAAAGGAGGGTAAATATAGGTGAAAAATGTGGAGCAATATGTGCAATAGGTATAAAAAAATTAACAATCCGGGGAAGTAACTCTTAAATTAGAATAATTTAAATCTGACTTTAATCTAATGCAAAATTTGTTATGCTCAAAAGTAGCCAATTCAAATAGATTTAAAAGCAACTCCACTCCTTTCCCATTTGTGAAAAGTAACATTCCGAAGTCTCTTACATTAAGTAAATGAAATACAGATTCATGCATAAAGAATTGAAGTCGCTAATCAAACTAAGCGAGATTAAACGTCGAAGGAACTGGGCAATATTAAACAAATGAAAATAAGTATAACATTTAAAGTGAAACAATTAAATAACAAACAAATTCAAGGGTTACCTACATGCACTTTCAAATTTAATTTTCGATTTGAATGGCCCTTATGGATATTTCATGTCTTAACGAGAATACAAACATGAAATAATTTTTAATATCTGATAGAATGACACCAATACCAATTCTGTAATTGGGGTAGTTCCGGAACCTTTGTAACTCAGACAGACAGACAGACAGGCATTAAGAGCGAAAAAGTGCACTTTTATTTTAAAAAAATTGAAACTATATAAGTATCTTCGAAACTGATGTACTTATAGGAGAGTAGTTGCGAGCTCGGACGGACGGATGAAGAAAGTGATCATAATATATCGCTTTCCATAGGTACATGAATTGGAAAATGCGCTAAAAATTGCGCATTTCTGAATAAATCAGTTGATATTGATACTGAAAAAAATAGGTACCTACTTATTTTTGAAAAGGTTTACCAATACTGTATCGGTTGTAACCAACCCTCCAACATGTTTTTTTCTGAAACTACTTTAGAAACAACTATACTTTCGTCTCTAAAAAGATTGAAGAAAATGTGATTTTCCTCTCTAGTCATCAGGAAAGTAAAAAACAATTGCCGCATTAATCTTAATAATGACATTTAGAATTGAAACATACCCGTATCTAGATTGCTATGTTTCAAACTTCATTATTGCATACTACAGTAGTTTCAGAAAAAATTATGTGCAAAACTTGAGTCCATCTTTCTTCTCTAGTTGTATACAAATAACTAGATATTTATCTTTATTTCGCGCGACATCGCGTCGTTTCGCCGAGCTGAGTTTAGCGCAAGTGGAAATCGACCTAAAGAATGAACCATGCGTTAACCCCAGTCACGGCCATCAACATATGAAAGAAATGATCTTTAAAAGACAATTGTCAAGAATGGTTCTTTCTTTGTATGCGATAATGAAGATTATCAAACGAAATTCATTTTCTTCACAGCATTTTATTTTTGAAAAAAGTACCTACCTAGTGGTGGGTTTACTATCATTATGGAGTTTACTATAATTAGGTATAGATACACTGAGAAAAATTGGGAGTACAAAATTAGCAAAACAGATCTGCCAATGGATAAATTGGAAAATTGGGTACTGTCAGCCTAAGGATATCGTGCGGCGAGTAGGTACAGAGTGAGCTGCAGGGGCGGACTGACCCGGGGGGGCGGGTGGCGGTTGCCACCTGGCCTGTAGATCATAATGGCAGGCCCGTTGGAAATTTATAAGTATGTGCTGTATTTAGTTTCTTGCACTATTAATAAATTATTAACACGTTTCTCTAATTGGGGTTGATGTTAGGTTGTTAAAAAATTCTGTTTTGATTGAAGTGTTTTACAATGATGAATCAAACGGTTCCCGATTTTTTTACAGTCTCAATATACCTAAGTAGGTAGGTACCTATAGCCTGATAGGTATATAGTAGGTATGTAGTCCCTACCTATATATACATCAACTGACTTATTCAGAGCGGATTCACGAAAAATTATATCCTGTGAAAACTAAAGTTTCGAAATCGAAAATATTGGTTATACCTACCTACATAGGTACCTAATGAGATACCTACCTACGCGAGGCATGTTCAAACTGACCTACAAAGACCTAAGTACAAAGATGTGAAAATCGCAAGGCGGATAAATCGGGATGGGGACTATACCTATACGGTGGATCCTCTAAGTCTAATATTCCCAATTTCTTTCGTTGTATAAGATTCTCTTTTCACTATTTACACAGATTTAAATCTGTGGTGAGAGCTCACTGGACGTTTTCTTCTTACCTATTGCTTGATGAAGCTTGTTCAAAGTTTCATTATATACCTATACAGGGTGTTTTTTTGGGAGCTTTAGTTAAACGTTTCTGGGAAAGTAAAATAGGTAGGTTTTTGAAAATTTGTACTTAGAAGTTACGCTGAAGGCCGAATCGATGTAAAATATTTTCAAAATGGCCGCACTTCCGGAAACACCGGAAGTAGATAGTAACTTCGTTATTTTAAATAGCATCCCCAATTTTTTTATTGGGTTTTTGGATTCTACGTGAAATTTCAGTTCTTTGGATACCCATATGTCGATATCTGTCATTTATGGTTTTTAAGTTATTTTGACTTTAAGAAAAAAAATGGCGGATGCAGATGGTACTTTGATAATTGATTACTTGAAAACGGTTGTAGTCATGACAACCTATTTTTATCAGTGCATTTAGAATTAATACAGCTTTCTTTTAGTGTACTTAAAAAAAAGTTAAGCTGCGTAAGACCGCCCCTATGGAGATCCAAATTTATGAAACTTCAAAGATTAAAAACTCAGTTTTTTTAAATGGAATCACCATTTTCTTAATATTGCATGAGATAAAGAATCGAAATGGGTATATTTTGACAATACATGTTCCTATAGCTATCTTTAACAGTTTCTGACTTATTCCCATTTTATTGAATCGACACTATTTTTTTCGAATTTTCTTTTTAGTAGCCGGCCATGATTTTATAACAATTGAATTTTAAACAATTCTAGTGACACTAATCCGTCACCTACTGTTATATAGGTTAACATAAGTTTTTCAAAAATCGAAAAATGACGCAGTGGTTTCACCTATTTTTGAATTTAATTGTTATTTATGGTGAAATGCGGACAGAATCGCGGCACGTGCTTGCCGTACATTCATTCGAACACTGGAACGAAATTGTATGAATTTTGGAAATTTGGTACCCCCAAATGCACTACAAACCGTTGAAGCGCAAGTGATACAAAGCTCTACAAGAGAATATTTAAGAGAATGAATTGAATTGCAAATGCAAGATTAACAAAATAAATTCAATGTATAATATAAAAAACTTCGTTGAAACATTTTTTGTATGGAATTGTTGCTAGAACAGATATCGCATTACCTCTCTGAATTTTTAGACTTATACGTTGTTTAACAAATTCAGTTGAACGACTCAGTCTAGATTTCTCAAAATTTCCGTCCTATATCCTTAATAAATGACTTATTTATTAATGAATTATTTAGACTAGAATCAATGATATTAAAAATCCTTTTCTTGATTTGTTTAAAATTCGATTGTTATAAAATCATGGCCAACTACTAAAATGAAAATGCAAAAAAATGGCATCAATTCAATGAAATGGG